TTTTTTAAAATTAAGAATTGTTTCATATTTTTATTATTTTTAATATAGTGTGTTTACTTATGTATTTTTTCTTTTATAGATTTCAGCATCAACTCGGTGCTTCTTCCTTTCTTTAAAAAAAAAAAAATCATGTATTGAGCTCCTATAATACTCCAGGCACTGAACTAGACACTGGGAAAACACCAGTGGAGCCAGCATGTGTGTGGGGGGAGGGGTGTGTAGAGTGATGGGAATGTGGATTGAAGAGGAGGGAAATGGGAGAATCTAAGTGATTAATAGAGGAAATACCAAATGAGCCAACGTTAAAAATGGCCTAGTTCCATAAGGATTGTCCCCTCTATATCAGTAAGTCTCACTGATAAATGCTGCTATTGATGAATATTGGTATTTATCATTGCCTACATATTGCTATTAATAAATATTGATACTCAACGCGTGTTGGGATACTTATTCCTATTCTTTTCCATCCATCTTCAAATACAGACTTCTTTTCAGCCATGCTTGGCCCAAGCAGGTCAATAAGCTCATTTTGTCTTAAATTGGAAAGTGCAGGTGTTACTCATGATGAGAGCTTCAGGGGAAACAAAGGCCTTTTCTGTCCCTGAACAACATGTCTGCTGGACACCTGTAAGTGTCCATGAGGCAATGTGGGTTGAGGTTGGGCAGATGAGCTCTGTGGTCAGCCTGAGGTTCAAAGTCCTCCACCACTTTCCTGGCTGTGTGTTCTTGGCTAAGCCACCATGTAGCTTCTGTGTGCATCCACCCCCTGCCCCTGAAAGGGTCTGCTACTCTCTACAACACAGTGTTCTCAGAGTATTAACTAAGATCTGTTGCTGCTAGCAAAGATGTGAAGGATTTTCCTTTGTTAGGCAGGGGAATCCGGGTTTTGTTTCATGCTCAGTTCTGCTGGGGAAGTCCTTGGAGGGAGGTGTGATAGGAGGGGGTTAAGGCAAGACAGTCCACATTAAAAAAAAAATTATTTATATATCTATTTACATTGCTGTTCATTTTTAAACAATGTTTACTGCCCCCCTCGCCCAGTTCGCCCAAGCATCATCACCACAGTTCCCCTCATTCCTCCCTCCTCCTTCCTACCGCTCTCTTTCCCCCTCCCTGGTAGGATATCTCTGGTTTGTAATAGTCTGTTTTTGTTTTATTTTGTTTAGTAATAACAATACAATTCCCCCCTTTATCTCTTACTTGGTTCTCTTATATTCCTCCTATAAATGAAGCCATTTGATAAATTTCTTTTTCCTTCTGATTCATTTTACTGAACATGATCCCTTCTAGCTCCATTCATGTTGACAGCATACATTTTTGATACCAAAGCTGACCTATGTCATGTGTAACTAAGAGCACAGGAACTGGACAAATGGCTTAGCTCTGTCACATTTCCAACTGTGCAATGTCAGAGAGGCAACTTGGTCTGTCCAAGCTGTTAGTTTCCAAATCTGTAAAATTGGGCTTGCTATCCTCAATGACTATTGCTGGATCTAACGAAATAGTACATGCAGCTTGCTTAACACAGTGCCTGGCACACCGTAAGCACCCAATGGAGGTTCACTGCCACAAAGGTTATTGGTTGGCGATTGGTATCACTGGGCTGGAGGACATGTCAACTGTGTTCCCAAATGAACTCTGGGTGTTTTCGAATGGGAATAGTTCTCCTTTTAGAAACCCAGCTCAACAAAGAGCAGGTGCTTTTGATTTCTAGAGAAACCTGATCAAGATAAGATCTCGCCTACAGTTTCTTGGAGTGGGGACCCAGGTACATGATACACCTTTCAAGAGCAGGCTGAATGAAGTTGGGAAGCGGAGGCAACTTTTGTGGCAAGCTGGTCTCTAGATGCTGAATTTACATAAGAAACAGACCAGAACAAAACATACTTGGGCCAAACAGTATTTGATACTTGCTGTGATAAAAGGTAGGAGGGTCCTATTATTTCCTGATAATTACCCACCATTCCTTTGCCCCACCCATCCCTTCTCTGCTTGCCAATGCTCTTCTCCCTTCCCTAGAGGAAGCTGGACTGGGTGGGGTGCGGTGGGGGACCGATGCCAAGGCAATGTCTCCCATTGAACCCTGCTGCTCTTTCTCCATTAAACATACAAATAAAACCACTAGCAAGATTTTGAACATTCCAGAACCTTAAGAGAGCCCAAGAAAGAGTTTTCTGACAGACTCATCTGAAAGTGAGATATTTTCCTGTATCTTTCTTTTGCTAATTGCCAGGCGATGGAGAGCACCTGTTTCGTTGGATGTTCCCACACAATTTGTGAAA